AATCATTGATTGGCTGCCTCCTGCATGTCCCCTACTGGGGATCGAGCCCCCAACCCAGGCATGTGCCCTGACTGGCAATCTAACCTGGCTCCTGGTTCTTCATAGGTCAGAACTCAACCACTGAGCCATGCCAGCCAGGCATCTAAGTCTCTCTCTCTCTTTCTCTCGCTCTCTCTCTCTCTCTTTCTCTCTCTCTTCAGCTTAAAACAATACACATTTATTATCTCGCAGTTTCTGTGATGTCCAGCAAGGGTGACTGGGCCTTCTGCTTAAGGTCTCACATGGCTGAAGTCAAGGTGTCTCAGGTCAAGTAGGGAAGAACCCACTTCCATGTTCATTCAGGTTGTCAGCAGAATTCAGTTTCTTGCAGTTGTAGAACCCCTACCCCGGCCCCCCTGGCCCTGCTCATCTTCAAAGCCAGTAATGGCGCATGGAGTCCTTCTCCTGTTTCAAGTCTCTCTGACTCCCCCTTCTGCTGCATCTCTCTAGGTTTCCTAAGTCTTAAAGTCTCTGTCACGAGGATTCAGCTCTGCCCGTAGTGGAAAGCAGCCCCAGACTACATGCAAATTGGTGGGTGGGGCTGAATGCTGATAACACTTCACTGATGGGTGATGGCACTGGGATTGCATGGAATGTTCATGTGGCACAAAATGCTATTCTTTTGAATTTTTTTCTAACCATTTAAACATGTGAAAAGTGTTCTTAGCTCACAGGCTGTGCAGAAACAGGAAGAGGCCCAGATCTGGCTGCAGGCTAGACCCCGGGCCTAAGAACCTCGGTAATAAAGTTGCCAGCTAAACAGGGCCTACACTCCATCTCTAAGTCCTCACAGCATTGCCATCTCAATGAAACCAGACTGTTCAGTTCCTGGCGAACCAGCACTCCCAGAGCAAGTCTGTGTACACATGAGGCCATTCTCTTTTAGCCAAATGGGGACATAAACCCTCGAGTTTCCACCGGCCCGTGTCCTTGGGCAATGTGTCGGTGCAGCAGGAGTGTTCTGTTCCTTCTTCACATCGTGTACTACAGTGGGGCCTTGACTTACGAGTGTCCCGGCTAACGAGTTTTTCGAGATACGAGCCGTCTCTCGGCCAATTTTTTGCTTTGAGTTGCGAGCTAAAATTCGGG